TACAGTTCCGGGTGTAAAGAGTGCGAGATGTAGAGCATTACAATAATATATATAGAGCGGATTAGTGCTGTGTAGAATATTATTGAAGAGTCTCTGGAGGGGAATGAAATCCTGAAGAGTGTCATTCTGAAAGATTTTATTATTACCGTTGTTGACAGGCCTTAAATCCTATCCTTAACCAAACTGTTTTTGTTTATTGCCTTCTGTGTTTTTGGCTGTACTTTCCTGTTTCTCTCTCTCTGTCTGTCTCTCTCTCTCTCTCTCTCTCTCTCTCTCTCTCTCTCTCTCTCTCTCTCTCTCTCTCTCTCTCTCTCTCTCTCTCTCTCTCTCTCTCTCTCTCTCTCTCTCTCTCTCTCTCTCTCTCTCTCTCTCTCTCTCTCTCTCTCTCTCTCTCTCTCTCTCTCTCTCTCTCTCTCTCTCTCTCTCTCTCTCTCTCTCTCTGTCTCTGTCTCTCTCTCTCTCTCTCTCTCTCTCTCTCTCTCTCTCTCTGTCTCTCTCTCTCTCTCTCTCTCTCTCTCTCTCTCTCTCTCTCTCTCTCTCTCTCTCTCTCTCTCTCTCTCTCTCTCTCTCTCTCTCTCTCTCTCTCTCTCTCTCTCTCTCTCTCTCTCTCTCTCTCTCTCTCTCTCTCTCTCTCTCTCTCTCTCTCTCTCTCTCTCTCTCTCTCTCTCTCTCTCTCTCTCTCTCTCTCTCTCTCTCCCTCTCCCTCCTCTCCCCCCCATTCCCATCTTGCTTCTTAATGGCCAAAGCCGTCAGTCTTGACACACCGCCGTGGTTGCTTCCCTCATTGTGGTCAACCATCCATCTTCCCATAAACCGCATCTCAGCTATCGTCACAACGTACCTAAACCAAACGTGGGTTTATCTTCTTCCTGCCCGCGTTACGAACCTAAAGTAAGGAACCCACATACGTTTGTCTTCTCCAGGCCAGCGTTACAAACACACATGAAGAACCTCCCGCCATTCTCTTGTGACTATTCTTCTCTACTGCATTCTTAAAAAAAAAGAATGTTTTTCATTAACGCTAAAACGAAAGCTAGGAATCACAAAATACGTTTGCGTACGTTGTCAAACAAACACAGCCTCGCTTGCTTTGCATCTGGCAACAATGCAGGAATCAATGACTGTAAATATGCGTACGTTTGAGTAATTTAATTGCGCCGATTTTAATAATATTCCTTTTTTTATTACACAACTACAAATACCCGACCCACCGGGCACTGTTGGTCTGGTAATTCGGCAGTTCGTGTGGATTAATGCATGGACTTCCCGGATTGCACATTCTTGTTGCGAATAACAACGTCAGCGCTGGACGGTGCATTGCACTGTTTTGGTTTTTATTTCTGCTGCCTCTGTCAAATGGCTCTTCGTGTGCATGCCTCTCGAGTCCAAACATGCGAGGCAGACGGTTGAAATCACATAACATACTGTGTATGCCTTCACAGTTATAAAGACTGCGTTGATAAACGACATATTAACGCAGGGAGGGTAGAAATAGCCTAAGCTACTCTATCCCTTTGAGATGTATTTCTTTCTTGTCTCAATAATCATACTTGAACTTGATATTAATGCATATATCCTATACGGTTTGCTTTATTAACTATGTATTTATGTAACCACTGATTTAATAACCGTATGGTGTTCTGTATAGTTTGTAAATTGAATTATTGTCATTATTGTGTTGCTTAAGGGAGATCTTAAGAGAGTTTCAGGACAATGTTGTGCTCGGTCAGCTTATGTGTGCTGCTCGAAGCTGCTCGGAGAAAAAGACAATATTTACCTGGGGCCAGATTCACGAAGCAGTTACGCGAGTACCTACGAACGTGTACATCTTTCCTGAATCTTTGACGGCTTTGGTTACATTTATTAGACAGTTTACAAGCATGAAAACTTCCCAAATAAACTGTTGGTATTGTTATAAACAGCCTCCCGGTGCTTCGGAGCTCATTAGCTGTTTAATCATTATAAACAAAGCCGCCAAAAATTGTGAAAATATGTACAGGTTCGTAAGTGCTTGCGTAACTGTTTCTGGCCCTGGAACCTGGCTGTGTATGTTGCTAGAGTGTGGTGCTAACATTTCCACCCTCAACACCCTGTGTTAACCTTGCTAGAGTGTGGCGCTAGCCTAACCTCATAACTCGCTTTTTTGCAAACCAAAAAATAACTTTTACAAGTTGCTTCATTGTTTACTTTTTTTTAACCGAGGTGTTTCTCAACTCTGCAGCATTGCAATTCCCCCCTGGCCGCCTCGCTTCCCTCTCTGGTTTCATTTACAATCCATTCCCCCGTGGACCAGGCCGGACCTCCCTAAACAAATGAATGTTCCTGTGATTGCTCTCCGCTGCTGGTGTTAAGCTTTACTGTGCGTCAGTGCAGTAGCTGTACACACCACCAGTTTTAAACAACAATATTTGCTTATTCAAATTCGTAAACTTGTGTGTTTGTGTGGGTGGGTATTTGTGTGGGCGGGTATTTGTGTGGGCGGGTATTTGTGTGGGCGGGTATTGGTGTGGGCGGGTATTTGTGTGGGCGGGTATTTGTGTGGGCGGGTATTGGTGTGGGCGGGTATTTGTGTGGGCGGGTATTTGTGTGGGTGGGTATTGGTGTGGGCGGGTATTTGTGTGGGTGGGTATTTGTGTGGGCGGGTATTGGTGTGGGCGGGTATCTACTACTACTATTTTCTATTTGTGCCTGCACGATCAAGTTGATAGCTCTTGGGCCCCGCCTTGCTAACAGTCCGTTGTCTAAAGTACTGACTCCCGTCCCATGCGTTTTCCCCTACTATATATATATATATATATATATATATATATATATATATATCAATATATGCTTATATAAATCAAAAATATATTATATATATATATTATATTATATATTAGGGCCCATCATGTTCCTAATATATGTAATAGATTTAAGAGAGGAAGTAAACTCAATCTTATCCATTTTTGTTAACGATGCGAAGCTAAACAGGCGAATCAGAACCGAGGAGGACTGCGTTACATTCGGGATGGATTAGACAGTCTCCACAGATGGTGTGAGAAATAGCGACTAGACTTTAACCCTGACAAATGCAAGGTTATGAGGATAGGAGTTTGAGGAAGAAGACTTCATATCCAGTATGGGATGAAGGGAAGACAACTTGCAACTTGTGAACAGAGAAAGACTTAAGAGTGGACATAACTGGAGACCAAACACCAGAGACACAGCAGCAGGATAACGAGGGCACCATATACCATACTGACAAACGTCCCGTTATCCTTCACCAACTTGGACAAAGATCCCTTCCGAGCGCTGTATACATCACTTGTGAGACCTGTTATTGAGTATGCTGCACCAGCATGGTACCCCTACCTAAAGAAGCACAAAGCAAAATTACGAAAAAGTCCGAAAATATGCAACAAGGCTCGTTCCTCAGCCAAGGGGACTGAGCTATGAAGAAAGACTAGGGGAACTAGACCTCGCTACACTGAAGAAAAGAAGGAATAGGGCAGACATGATAACGACATAGAAAATATAAAGTGGGATTGACAAAATGTGTATCGAACCAATGTTCAAATCAAGTAACAGTAGAACGAGAAGACACAATTGGAAGCTGGAAACCCAGACGAGTCACACGCATGTCAGGAACAACGTTGTCAGTCTCAGAGTCGTAAATAAGTGCAACGAACTGGACGAGGAAGTTGTCGAAGCTAATTCGATACACAACTTTAAATAAAATAAGACAAACGAGGGGAAACGAGTCACTGCCTTGAGCTAATGGTCGAAATTAAGAATACATGCTCAACCCTGCACGCTCATCTAGATGAGGGAAAGCCAGACAGGATTAGGTTGGGTAAAGCTAGAGAGGATTAGGTTGGGTAAAGCCAGAGAGGATTAGGTTGGGTAAAGCTAGAGAGGATTAGGTTGGGAAAAGCCAGAGAGAAATAAGTTGGGTAAAGCCAGAGAGGATTAGGTTGGGTAAAGCCAGAGAGGATTAGGTTGAGTAAAGCCAGAGAGGATTAGGTTGGGTAAAGCCACAGAGGATTAGGTTGGGTAAAGCCAGAGAGGATTAGGTTGGGTAAAGCCAGAGAGGATTAGGTAGGGTAAAGCTAGAGAGGATTAGGTTGGGTAAAGCCAGAGAGGATTAGGTTGGGTAAAGCCAGAGAGGATTAGGTTGGGTAAAGCCAGAGAGGATTAGGTTGGGTAAAGCCAGAGAGGATTAGGTTGGGTAAAGCCAGAGAGGATTAGGTAGGGTAAAGCTAGAGAGGATTAGGTTCGGTAAAGCCAGAGAGAAATAAGTTGGGTAAAGCCAGAGAGGATTAGGTTGGGTAAAGCCAGAGAGGATTAGGTTGAGTAAAGCCAGAGAGGATTGGAATGGGTAAAGCTAGAGAGGATTAGGTTGGGTAAAGCCAGACAGGATTGGAATGGGTAAAGTCAGAGAGGATTAGGTTGGGTAAAGCCAGAGAGGATTAGGTTGGGTAAAGCCAGAGAGGATTAGGTTGGGTAAAGCCAAAGAAAATTAGGTTGGGTAAAGCCAGAGAAGATTAGGTTGGGTAAAGCCAGAGAAGATTAGGTTGAGTAAAGCCAGAGAAGATTAAGTTGAGTAAAGCCAGAGAAGATTAGGTTGGGTAAAGCCAGAGGAGATTAGGTTGGGTAAAGCCAGAGAGGATTAAGTTGGGTAAAGCCAGAGAGGATTAGGTTGGGTAAAGCCAGAGAGAATTCAGCATGGTAAAGCCAGAGAGGATTAGGTTTGCAAACCCATTGAGGGATTAGTTGGGTAAAGCGAAAAAACTATATTACCATTTTACATCACGCCTTATTACAAAAAAAAATAACAGTCCATGTTATCAAAAAAATAACATGGACCACGAGCTGCCATCACGTGGGGATCGTCGAGTTGTTTCAAGCGTAGGTTAGACACACGGGTGTGATTGGATATAAGGAGGAGCCGTCTCGCGTACTCGCTTCCCTATAGGCCATCTGTAGTCTATATTCTATTTTTCATCTTATCTTCCCTACAGGAAAGGAGAAGCTGCCACGCCAAGGTCGAGAGGCACCCTTGGCACAGATGCCAGATGGTCTGAGCATCGGAGACTTTATCACTGATAATATAAAGAAGGTGAGATTCTCTGCAATGTAACACAACAATGTCTTTATCATGTAACACAAACAAGTCCGCATCATGTAACACAAACAAGTCCGCATCATGTAACACAAACAAGTCCGCATCATGTAACACAAACAAGTCCGCATCATGTAACACAAACAAGTCCGCATCATGTAACACAAACACACTAGGATGATGGAAATACAAATACGCCAGGAACATGCTTGCAACACAGTGCCAGCTTCGGGCATGCATGACAAACACTCCAACATCCAGAATGCAAACCCTAAATCAACATATGCTGTATAAATTAATATTGAAAAGTATCTGCAACAATCTTATCTATACTTTAAGATCCATAATACTCCCTCAGTCACCACAAACATTCCTAACATTGGCTAATGTGAACCACTGTAAACACGACACGTTCATTGAAAAGGAATATGTATCACGTTCCCTGTAAAATGTCTGTAAACAAAGCAACGTTCCCTGTAAAAGGCTGTAAACAAAGGAACGTTTCCTGTAAAAGGTCTGTAATAAACGAACGTTCCCTGTAAAAGGCTGTAAACAAAGGAACGTTCCCTGTAAAAGGTCTGTAACAAAAGAACGTTCCCTGTATGTTCATTTTGCCTGTCATCTGTAACCTGTGATATGTTTCTTTCCTCTTCAGGTGGACAAGGATCCATCAGACTTTGATGACGTGCGCCACTATTGCTTCGAAGGAGACGAAATGTCCATTGCATCTTTGTCTTCCATAGGCTCAGGTGAGTAGCTGAGGCTAATGCGTATGGGAAGAAAACAATGCTGTGTAGGGGTGATGCTTTCCTTGCAAACATACATTACCTAACTGGGCTCTAGAATAATAATGAAGCTTGAAACCTACATCATGGGTGAATGATCTATAATTAACTAAAGAATCCACTTCGAATCATTCCTCTTTATGTGTCCTCAACAGGAGGCTCCTCTGAAGGCAGCGAACCATTCGACTACAAGAACGACTGGGGTCATCGCTTCGAGAAACTCAATGAGATATACGGGCGGGCCTCGGATGAGGAGGACGATAGCGACTACGAGTTTCCTGACGTCCCGAAGCAGAGCAAGCGCGACTCTTTGCGTCAACTCCGCAAGCCAAAGACCCCCAACAGCACCCCTGCTCAGTCTCCTTCAGAAGGCCTTGAGGCCAAGGGCGCCCAGGAGATGAAGAAGACGCAGAAGTACCACGAAGCCCACAGTCCCATGGCTTCCTTTCCAGAAGGTCAGGGAGCGGAATCTTGGTGCTAGTAGCAGATAACCTTGAATAAGATATCAGCAACAGTCCGATGATAACGCTAAACTCCAAGACGTGTGGCTCGCAGAGATAACGGGCCGGCGGTGTGGTGTATAAGCAGCCAAAATAATGACCAAATAGTCAAGTTAAATAAGTCGTTTGTGCGAACGATCATTTGCGGTGCACATTTGTATGGGTGAAAGCCAACACAGCGAGGGACCGTCGTTGTCCGCATACAATCACTTGGATTAGTCTTTGAAGCAGATTAATACGTTCATAATATATATATATATACATATATATGTTTATGTATACATAGCAGTGTGAGCTATGAAGACAGGCAGTACACTGGTGCACAACAAATGAGAAGTGGTGTAACACCTCGTGAATGTTGTCACTCTCCACCACATTAAGGGCAAACATCACACTTTCACGTTTCATGTAAATATGATTTGACGTCAGTTCATTCTTAGGGGTAACAGAAACCAAAGGTGCTTCAAAAGTCAAATACTAATTAAAACTACCTTTCCATTCCCTACTCCACTAGCCTTACCCCCTAAAATAACCCACCTGGATGCTATTTCCATCTCCCACTGGCTTTACCCCTTAAGATAACACATCTGGATGCTTCTTCCATCTCCCATTGGCCTTACCCCTTAAGATAACCCTCCTGGATGCTCTAAATGCGGAGATCGGGAAAACAAACACGCCTTCACTGGGAAATAGTCGGAAAACTGTTTCTCTCTCAGGTTCCTCTTACCATTGTTTGTTAGAATTGTACACTAGATTTAACACTTACCAAACGTTCCCTAACTAGGACATGTAACGACGGTCATAGATTATTATTATCACGTACTTTCACGCTGTTATGTAACAGAAAACGATGTCGAATACAACTTGCAACTCAAACGCTCAGAACCTTACTGGAGATACGTGTTATTTAGACATTAACATACGTGTAAGTTCCCTGTTGTGTATAAGTTTGATGTATGATTGTGGTCACGTCTGCCGCGCCTAGCCATTCATGTCAAAAATAATAATTACTGTGGTCAAAACTGACTTTCGTGGTCAAAACTGACTTTCGTGGTCAAAGCTGACTCTCATGGTCAAAGCTGACTACTGCATTGTGCAGATTATAATATATATTGTAAGTTAAATACACCACACAGGTATTCTTGAATACACATCGAGTTCTCCATCATGAACTCAGGTCTTGAAATAAACTGATGTTTATTTTCAGAAATTAACGCGATCATGACGTCACTAACCAGTCTCTCATTATCTCTGCAACCCGTTCTCGCACTTGCTGATAGTCAATATTTGGCTTATTAATAAGTGCATATGTGAGATACTAATTTATTGTGAACATATGAGTTTACCCTGAAAAGCTGAATAGAAAACACCAGCCTAGCCTTCTTAGTATGTTAAGATAAGCATCTTATTGCTTTTTAATTACAATTAGTACTTAACCTATACCTATTGATATTATAATTAATTATAAAAATAGTAAAACAAAACTAAAATATTTAAATAAATTGTAAAGTAACTCAGGATATTGTCAAAATTTTGTATAAAATCTCTATTGTTTAATAAAACTGAAAAAGAAATTCCAAGTATTAAAACTGGTGTATAGCAAATCTTTAGGAAGAGTTTGTACCTTGAAAACAAAATATAACTTGGAATATACCACATATATACTTATTAATATGCCAAATATTGACTATAAGCAATAAGTCATATATATGCTGTCTAGTGCGAGAGCGGTTCGCTCTCACAACCTGTGAGACAACTCAATTGCAACAATTATTATTTTTGTTTAAAAGTACTCGTGTTCCATAACTTATTTCTATACTGTGTAATTTATCTTTCCTGGTTGCAAATTAAGGAGTTTTTATGATTCATTTTTATTTAAAATAACAAGTTGAGCATCTGAATCTTATATAATTTTACTGATGCCGTAAAGTCAAGGAGTGAGGGAATTAGTATGCATTATAACAAGTATATGGTTACATTTTGATCTCATATATATCGTCCCGCCTCTGTTGGAACGTGACGCATACTGTGTGTGTCCTGGGACGTGACACATACTGTGTGTGTGTCCTGGGACGTGACGCATACTGTGTGTGTGTCCTGGGACGTGACACATACTGTGTGTGTGTCCTAGGTCGTGACGCATACTGTGTGTGTGTGTCCTGGGACGTGACACATACTGTGTGTGTGTCCTAGGTCGTGACGCATACTGTGTGTGTGTCCTGGGACGTGACACATACTGTGTGTGTGTCCTGGGACGTGACACATACTGTGTGTGTGTCCTGGGTCGTGACGCATACTGTGTGTGTCCTGGGTCGTGACGCATACTGTGTGTGTCCTGGGTCGTGACGCATACTGTGTGTGTGTGTCCTGGGTCGTGACGCATACTGTGTGTGTGTGTGTCCTGGGTCGGACGCATACTGTGTGCCCTGGTACTTGAGGCATACTATACGTATCCTTGGACGAGACGCATTTGCTCTCTGGTATCAGACGCATATTTTATGTAGCCTAGCACTAAGCGTATACTATGTGCGCCATAGCGCTCGCTAGACGCATATACTCGCACTCAAGCAGAGGTCTGTGAATGCCATTACTGGTCTGTGCCTCTTGGCGCTGCTACGATAATCAAAATTTATGTAGAGAGAGTTCAGACATTCCTTGTATCGAGCCTGGCGACGCCAATTCGTATATCGAACACTTTAAAAAGTATATATATCTTTATCTCTCCTCCCCGCTGAAACTGGAGCCAAGAACCCACTGCCAAATTTCCTTTGTGCGTTTCGCTAGTCGTGTGTGTGTGTGTGTGTGTGTGTCTGTGATTATTTGGGTGATCGTGTGTCTTTCAATATATATATATATATATATATATATATATATATATATATATATATATATATATATATATATATATATATATATATATATATATATGTCGTACCTAATAGCCAGAACGCACTTCTCAGCCTACTATTCAAGGCCCGATTTGCCTAATAAGCCAAGTTTTCATGAATTAATGTTTTTTCGTCTACCTAACCTACCTAACCTAACCTAACCTAGCTTTTTTGGCTACCTAACCTAACCTTACTATATATATAGGTTAGGTTAGGTTAGGTAGGGATGGTTAGGTTCGGTCATATATCTACGTTAATTTTAACTCCAATAAAAAAAAATTGACCTCATACATAGAGAAAAGGGTTGCTTTATCATTTCATAAGAAAAAAATTATAGTAAATATATTAATTCAGGAAAACTTGGCTTATTAGGCAAATCGGGCCTTGAATAGTAGGCTGAGAAGTGAGTTCTGGCTACTAGGTACGACATATATATATATATATATATATATATATATATATATATATATATATATATATATATATATATATATATATATATATATGCAGTATATCGAAAGACACTTAACAGAAAAGCTTAAAACCATATAATCCGTTGTATAACTGCATTTCATTTTAGTTGATAAGGACATTGTTACGTAAGTAAGCAGTTGGGATTAACGTCACCAGCCATGGTGACCATGATGGTAACACTGTCACCATGGTAACCATTCACCAGGGTGACAACCGTAGTGTTTGTTGGAGGCCAAAGTCTTTGTGATTGCATGTATTTTTAACTTTAATTCTGTGGTAATGTAGACCAACATTATTAGGACATTTTGTAGGGAAGATCAAAGTCGCGTTGAACAATGCTCATTCATACAACGTTCTCAGCGTCGTTGCTGTAGAGGTGAAGGAAGAATCAGTCGTATAGCGGCAAAGGTTAATTCCCCCCCCCCCCACCCATATTTCCTGAATGTATTATCCAAGTCCTTGTTCATGCCAAAGATTAACTTTTAACGAGCACTTATGGGCCGTGTCGCTGCTGATAAATTTACCGGACACACACACATGAGCAGAATGTGGTATGGGGGAAGTAAGAACGCGCGCTCTATAGCTTCCTCTATTACTCACTCAAGCGCTGCCACGTCTTGTGTGCTCGTTTTCTATCCCTCAAGCGATGTCTTGGAATTCCATGCAGCCCCCCCTCCCCGCCCCCCCCCCCATCCCACTCGAGCGATATTTCGTGTGGTATTAAAATAATGCAACAAAGCTTAATCACATCATGAAATTTAAAATTTATACTTTAGGCTGCTAATTTAAAAAAATGAGTAACAAGAGTCACTGAGATTTAATGTTAAATGAGGTTTTAACCCTCTTGAATGAGCATATAAATCGCTGCACTGCTACGTTCATGCGAATGTTCTTCGGGTTAAGTAAGCCCTATAAGAGTGCGTTTCTCAAGGCCAATATCTCTTCACATAATGCAGGAATTTATCGTTACGTTTATTCTGAAAGATGAGCAACATGCTAGACGTGAGTTTAGGCACTTGAATGAATCGAATGAGTAATTTGGCGAATACGAGTTTATGTACCAAGAAACATTCCCACTGTACCTTTTATTGTCATTATGTTTCGTATTATTTGAGAGTTCCTTTGAGAGGTATCCAGCCTCTCCCATTCTTGTTTTACAAGCATTTCTTCCCCATTACCGTGATAAATATCGTGATGTTTTACAGATTTTTTTAAGCAAGATAAAGTTTCTGTACATATATATATATAAAGCAAGTGAGTGTACATATCATAGTAGATGATTTATGTGTGTGTCCCGCGTCTGTCTGGTATCGTCGACAAACACTTTCCCCTAACACTTGTGTTACATAGTGTAACTTGACGCTGGTGTTATGATGTGGTGATCCTGGAGTGTGTCATAGTGGCCTCAAAGTGGATGGTGACCTCACAGTGCAAGGTGATCTCACAATGCACTATATTGCGTTATTAAGAGATTGCTAACACTCTTCCTTCAGTGAACGCCTTCACGATATCAAGAGAATGATTACTGTGAAGCCGATGGATAGTTATCCAACAGTACTGTGATGTCACCGTCTCCCACTGTAGCCAGTCTTGTTTCAAACATCATTAACCCATCATCTTGCATCCCTGAGTGGCTGCAGTTCTATATTATATATATAAATGTTAACCGTATGATAACTAAGACATGATCGCTCAATTAAAGCCCTTCCCAAAAAACTAAGTAAAGGGGCCTGATCAATATAGGCATTAAGCTAGAAAGCTATATACTTCCGTCTCTACCTCAAGGATCAATAAAGAGAAATAATCAACTGAAATCAACAATATCATCACTGATGAAAGTAAACTATTAACATGTTCCTTATGTAGCTCCTTGGCCCGAAATTTGCAATAAATCGGCAAATTTTAATTGGATTTAGAGTACACTGTCTGAGTATACATCCCATTTTCTATGAAAACTGGAGCAGAGTTGAAACAGATTAGAGAGGAGTGAGTGCCTGTTGCGTCTGGTGGAAGTTTGGAGACGATACCTGTGGCAGGAGTCACGTGTTTGGTATGTGGGAGATGTCAGGTGTTGTGCAGCCGCTGTTTTGTATCAGTCATTTGAAAATAAATCTTTTTATTTATACGAAAATGAGGCGTTTTATTCCCCCCTACCTTAGAGCATACCCCCTGAAGGACACATTTATTCAAGTAATTATCAAAAGACGCCAACCCAGGAAGAATATTTAGCACCATCTGTGTCGTAGGATATGGGAAAGTGGGTCTTGGTAGTACAGTGATTCATTCTCGACTCACAAATGTAAATTGCTCTTTATAGTAACTAGGCTTCTTATTGAACCACTTATATATTAAAAAACTGTTGACATATGTTAAACTGTGTAATTAGTTTCACAAGATTGATACTAGCTTAGCTGAATGACCACGATGATTTAAGACAAGTGGCTGTTAAACATTAAAGAGCTTAGCGCTATCTCTATATAAAATGCAATTTCAATGGAGCATCAAGGATGGATGAGGACCGACGAACTCGTTAGAAAAAATCATAGCAGCAGTTTTAGATGCAGAAACTTTGAAGCCTTACCTGGTAGCCCAGAATAACACATAATCGATAAAGGGTGAAAGATAGAGATCGTCAGTATAGAAAGGGGAAAACAGTCCAGAAGGAAGTGTGAAAGGATGATTGTTAAGGGCAACCTGGTATTGTGTCTAGGCAACCAGGTATTGTGTTTAAAACACTACCTTGGGGAACACCCTCAAACTGTTGAAGTGTTGGAGAATGGTGAAGTCCCCCATACACGAGACACATGGGTGTCAATACCCCTAATGTATTTCACATATAACGCCACGTGTGTTGTTGTCTTTGCAG